CAGATCGACGACTCCCGCGAAAAATATGGAGGAGTTAGGTTTGAGCAAACAACCATGAATTGATCGTTCAGTCTTCAACTACATTGACACGTGGTGTTCAACCCCTGGCAGAGAGTTACGAGCAATCTGCTTGACAGCCGAACATTTTCTTCATATGGTAGAGGCCAGATCGTCCACACGACCTACTCTTATCACAATCTCTTACCTAAGCACTCAACGCGAAGACAGACAAATAGTCGACATATTAAATTCGTGTCCTTGATTTATCATCAAAGTTTACCAGCGATATAAGACACAAGGTGGTTAAGAATTGTTACTGACACACTCTATCGGATGCACGTGATACAGTGCAACGAACCACCGTAGACTTCAAAGCACTGGACGAAAATCAAAAGAACTTAAAAGAGCTAAATCAAATCCTCCGGTTCTTAACTTAAATGTAGATATTTATATGCCGCAACACAACTATAGTGTCTACCAGGCTCTCCATCCCTGAAATTATGAGGAAAGTTACATTCAGTCATTTTCGCTCTTTATCGCATCGTGGAGCAGAGGTTTCAGCTGAAGTAATCTCGGTAACATATATCTGACCGAACTAACGATTCAACTTCTGAAGTAGGCGAGGGAATGCATGGCGTGCCAGAGGGCTGAAATAAGAAAACAGAATGTCACCCTGAGGACTATTCTCACAGCCAGATAGCCGTTTCAAACATTTTCACGTGAAAAATAGTAGGTCATCTGCCGTACCTGAGAGTATTCACTTCCTCATTCACATGCAATGATAAGTTCACTAGGTCCTTGTTAGCTTCAACACTCACTGGTACTACGCCGGAAACGGTAGCAAAAGCTTTTCTTCAGCACCGGGCAGCTGTGTTCAATGTGCCAATAAAAGTTACAGGTAGTTGAGAAATTGTGAAGGGCAACCTAGTCACCAGGTTAGTGGGCCAGACTAAAGAGTCATCAGGTTACTGCTGTGGTCTAGAAAGATTGATAGCCACACATCAGTCATGGCGGTTATATCTGGTCAAAACCACCTGGAAACAAGTTCGAAATTGTCCTAGAGGTCTGGCCAACTGTTTTCGTAGGATACACCTCTTTCATCAACAACTGAATGCTGCTCTGATATATCTTTTTAACCTCTCTCATTATAGCATATTCCCATCTACTCTACCACTTTGTACCCGAACATCGATGAAATCTTTTGCTCGATGTTACACTTCAGATATTGTAGTCAGTAGCACACTGGGGTTTCCTGATATGATTATTACTAGTGCTGATAAAAACGACCTTGGAAGGGTTACCTGTGCTATCAAACTTCGATTACTGATGGCTAAACTAAAGCCGAAACCTTCGAGATAACAATCAAGGGCAGCATACATACCAAAGGACTCGGATTTCTGTTATCCCTTATGGGATGAGTGTAATAAAACGCGATCGCTCCTCATCTACCATACACAGGCCCCTTCATTGTCACGACAAGACACCAGAAATACCTTGTTATTCAACGAGGTATTTTTACGGATACTGTCAATGTAGTTGATGGCTGAACGATCAACTCATGGTTGTTTGCTCAAACCCAACTTCCCCAATTTTCGCGGAGAAATCGATACACCAGTCATCGTCTCATCGGTCGCTGTTCAGAAAGAAGTCAGGCCAAAACTGTCAGAAGTAATATTGTGATTTATTATTGTAATATTTGTTCATAGACCTTAGTTAAAGCTTAATTTTAAAGTTGGATATATTGGTGTTACAATAAAGAATTCTCGAGTGGCCAATCGGTGTTTTGGTTTTTACGTCCGTTATTACTAAGCGTTTCTGAGAAACTTCAGGGAACAGCGTGAGTCCCAGAGTAGCAAGAGCTGTGCATTGACGGTTTACGAGACGTGGCTGACAGATACTGTTAGCTCTGATCGACCGAAACTGGCCTACCTAGACAAAAGTCCTTCCTACATAGTGACAGAAAGCCCTTTGCCAATGGTAGTCGACAGTGCGGATGTTGACGCTATGATTATTAAGATCGGCCAGGATATCAAAAAGGTTGAACCCTTGTGAAAAGTTTTCGGCAAGAATATAGAACGAATAACTGGAGGACAAATACATACGTTCACCTGATCCATTAGGAAACACACAAACTAATTTCCTCTACTATTTTCAAGAAAACCAGGAACTAATAAATTATTTGAAGAAGAATGCATACAGGGTTTCTGCATTTTTAAAATAAAGGAAGAAAACAAGCCTTCATTATTTTCTTTGGGTGCCGTCCTGCACTGAGCGGCACTTTTTTGTCGATTTAAAGGAATCGGAATCACGCTTCTTCATGAGTAAAATGGCGCTGGACTTAACGAACAGACACGGTGGAAACTCGGAATTCCTCCTGTTTGGCAGGGTTAAGCAGTCCACGAAACCAAGGCAAACATCGGTAAGCTCAAGTCTAATTCACCCCTTTTCTCTCCACAGTCAAGTATCTTTCGGGAGCAACTCCTGTTGTTACAATTCAACAGTCTTGCATTAGAATTTAACTTCTAATGGAGCAAGTAGCAGATATACTGAAACGGAGAAACCTATTTATGCAACTGGTCATTTCATAAACCTTTTTACTTGAGCTCACGACACCTAAATATTAGTGTGAGAAAGGCATAAAAGTGATTGAAAAATTTGTGCTCGAATCGCTCATAGAGATAATAACTGTCCTAAGTATCCAACACTTCTAAACGAATAACTACACCAGCAGTATCCAGTGACGGCAGATATATCATGAATTGCCTTCTCAATAAACGTGGATTATAACCGTACATTTATATTCAATTGAATACTTGAGAATTACTGGAATAATTGACTCACCTTCCATACGTCTTCGTGCATAAGATATTCTTACTCAGTTTTCATTTGTTTTTATATGTATATATATCTTAATGAGCCCAATCTAGCATAATCTGCAGGAACTTTATCGATTACAGCTGAGTGGTGGAAGGTTAGTAGCAGTTCAATTAAAACATTTTGATATATATAAATGCTGTCAGCCAAAGTAGCATAGCCGAAACACCTTTAACCATATTATTTCGATTTTCTGCATCCTATCAACGAACGGTTTTTGATCTCTTCTCCGCCCAGACTCCAGACATCAGCAAACCTTTAAATAAAGGGTCAAACTTATAGTGTCTCTGATCCAGGACCTCAAAATAGACGCCCACTAATATACATTGTTAATGTCCAGGTCTTACTACACTGGACCTCACACTGTCCTTGGAAGTCTTCCAGAAACCATGCGTAATAACTAACAAGAAAAACCAGAAAGCAAATTGGTGACTTAAGAACCGTTTATTCTTACACCAATACAGAGACAACCATTAGGTTATTGTACACAAGGTCTAAGGATAAATGGCATAACAATAAATCACAATAATACTTCTGATAGCTTCTCTTTCTTCCAAAGAACAGCGAACGATGAAACGATGACTAGTGGATTGATGACCCCCGCGAAAAATATGGAGGAGTTGGGTTTGAGCAAAGAACCATGAACTGATCGTTCAATCTTCAACTACATTGACATACATGATTATAAAACCTGGAGAAGTAACCACTTTTGCTGTTGCTGAACTCATCATAGATGCAACGCTGTTACATTTGATTTCACTTTCCCTTTGCAGATTACAGAATATGTTTGCAATTCCAGATTTTTCTACTAAAATATCTATGAATATGCCTTGATATGTTTTTAATACGTCTACCAATTGTTTATTTCTATATTTTTTCTGCGTGTAGTGAAGCCTTTTCCGGTGTGTGGTGGAATTGTCTAATTCTTTAGCTGGCGTCTTTCTTCGTTTTCGAGTTGCAGGGATTCTCAGAGCCAGGTATAATTTCACCCTGCAAGGGACCAAGGAAGTTCGTAAACCCTTATCAACGCCAGCCGTCTCATCGTCAACGGTCATCTTTTATTGATGCTGATTGAAACACAGTGGCCAAATAAATAACAAAGGGAGTGTAGCTCAGCGGCGCCATCATGGTGTGATCGTTTATCTCTATGATCTATTCCCATCATTGCTGGTTAACAAACTCTTGCACGGCCTTGAGATTACTAAACTTCTTGCGTTTGTTAGGGTGGTCTTAGGAACAGCCTGGCCACTAGGTTAGATGGGCCTGGCTAAAGAGCCGACATTTAGTGTGACTAAAGCTCAGGTCTGAAGGATGAATGATCATACAACAATAGTGAGGATAATTCCTAGTTGAAGTTGTTCATGCAGCGTATCTAGAACGTTTCTTACGAGCTCACCGGCGTAATGCTGAGTGACCAGCTTCCAGCATTGCTTCAAGCGTTTTCTTTTTTAATGTAAGGAAGTCTTGCCTGTTGTCTCCACTTATTTCTCATCCCCATGTGTCAGGGTAAACTTCTAAGCTAGCGTGACTGCATTAGCCCATTTTACTTCTTTACATTCTCTCCCGACAACTCTAGCTACAATTATTATTACCGGCATATATATGTATGTATTCATCACCTTCAAATTTAATCAGCTTTCTGTTTTTACGGTTTCTTTTCTTCTTTTGCTGTCTGTTAGTCTGAATAGCTTCGCTAATTATTATCTTATTATTACTTTTGTTATTAGGGTTTGATTCCACACCGTATTTTTGGTACAAGTATGGAATTTTCAGCATGTGATATCGGTGGCCCAAATTTTGCAAGCGTGCGTCGGCAAGGGATCGAACCTCGGACCATGTGCATGTTCAGCAAGAGTCCTAACCACTGTGCCACCGACGATACCGGAAGAATAACTGCAGAAAGGATCATCTTAATTCACAACGGTAGTGGTCTAAACACACCCCATACTACAAACCACATATAATTAATCCCAGCGCTAGTCCTTTTGGAGTCAACCAAAGCTACGACAGTCGAGTGGCGGATCGAGCTACGCAGAAGTATACCGGAGATCAGGAACCTAAACCTCCGTATCAAGAGTCGAGCACAAGGAAATCAAATTGGTTTGTGCTAGCTCATAAAAATGATATTGGATATTGAAGTTCGCGTGTAGGAGCGCCAAGTTTGTTAGTGGTGTTACGCGTAAGTCGTTTGCACTGTTATTTCATTTTGTGCATGTGCAGGTATCTAATTACGACTTTCAAAGTCAACCATATTTGAATTTTTAACATCAGTTTGTGATGCTGGTTAAATAGCACAGGGAATATTTGTTTCATGAATTTGTTCCAAGCATAATTAGAATATTATTGGGGCTATTAATTATTTACATGTGTCTTTAAAGTTGTCATTTCTGTAGCGAATTTCAGCTGAACTGACAGGAATTTGAGAGTCTTTCCCTGCATTCTGTACAAGAAAATTTTGAGTACATGAAGTTAAAGTTGCTTTGAAGTGATGAACACTTAATGACCAAATTTTTACATCATGATTAACCTTAACTAAGAGCATTATTAGACGTATTGTAACAATGGGCAGGGATTTGGAGGGACATATCCTGGAAAGAGTACTAAGGATAAGAACGATATTAGTTAGTGGTATCTCACACCTTATGATAAGAGTATGGAGCATTTCAATATCTCGTTATCATACCGAAGGAAAAGAGGCGACCTAATTTTAACATACCGTATACGTAAGGGTGATTTAGGAACTGAACTTCCTAACCTTTTCTCCCCTTCTAGGATAAATTTACGAGGTCACCGCGAAAAGGTGCTCAAACTGAGGACGATTGAAATACGTGCAGAATTTAGATTCTCACAGAGTGGTCAACGAGTGGAACTCCTAACCTGATTCACTAGTATAAGCGACATGGGTGAACGCTTTCTAAGAGAATCCGAACCCCTGAAAAGATATATTTTGCAAGGATTAGCACAGGCTACAAGAGCCTTTTATCCTTATCATCTAAATCCGAAGCTGATACCTCTGATCATCAGGGTTAAGATGAAAAAAGTCACATTAGATTAAGACATTGGTTTTGTGGCTTGACCCTAGAGTTGAGTTGAGTCCACACGTATAGTTTGTGCTATTATTCCCTATCTTTACATATTGCTGTGCAAAATGCGGTTATTGTTAACCATTCAAGTTAAATAGTTTGCTCTGGTTGTATATCAAGCTAAGCTGGAAAACTCTACTCTCAACTACTTTACAAAACTACAATCGACTGTTGTTACACAGGGGCAAGATATCAAATCAGATATGTAGGTGTTTTAAAACAGTCTTCGCACAGCTGGAAAACTCAAGTATAAAGTGTTTGATCATGGAATTCAGTCTCCATTCTCTCTATTTTATCAGATCGGTAGTATTTTTAGTTTTCCTACATGAAGTTAAACAGGCACACTAGTGTGTGTAGAAGTTGTAGTTCCAGTGGATTCTGCTAACCAGCCAAACATTAGTGTAAGAGTGAATATTTGAGAAGACAGCGTATATTTGTTTGTTCATTGAAACTCCACCTGTTTTGATTGGCGATTTGTTCGTAGATGGATGTTTGTACTTTTTAAAAAACGGTTCTCATTTTCATATTAACCTTGAGAAGTAGGTAGTTAATCCGAAATTCATTATATATCCTTATTTCATTTGTTTTAGTTAACTCAGCATTAACCAGGCATTAATCAACAACATATACTGGTACCTGTCCAAAGAATATGGAGAATGATGATGTTGTCTTGACGGACAGTTCGAAGAAGATTAAGGCTATTATTTTGATTGGTGGTCCATGCAAAGGTAACTGCTTACATCTCGGTTACTTTCTTTGAATTTAGGCACTCGATTTAGACCATTATCTTTGGAGTTACCAAAACCACTTTTCCCTATAGCGGGATTTCCTGTTGTATATCACCACATTGAAGCTTTTTCCAAAGTAATCTTTACATTTTTTTATTGCGATTCAGTTACCAGGATTAAGAGAAATTATCCTCTTGGGGTTTTATCAGCCTAACGAAGCTCTCAATCAGCTAATTTCAAATGCACAACATGAATTTAAAGTTTCTGTTAGGTATAGTTTTTGTTCTCATGTGTCACTTAATTTTCCACGTGTCTCACATTTTTGTTTTGAACTGTCTACCATGTATTGTTTTGCGTTGTTTTGATTACTGCCTGCTTGAGGAGTTGAATGATCCCTAACAGACTGATCATTGACAAAATGTTAGTACGAGTGCAAAAGTCCCCTTCGTTATCTTATAATTTTCATCGTCTTTGTTGCACGCATAGCAGCCAAATATATATCAAATATTTCCCAATGGTTCTGCCCGTCCTGTGAGAAAGTGGCTGGAAGTAGGACGTAAACGAGACCAAATTTATTTGTTTGCAGGTGCAGTCGTCCTATTGCTTCTGTCAAATGAAACAGTCTACGCTTAAATTTCTTATTATCACATATTTACTCTGTTTGACCAAGTATTCCGAGGAGCAGCAATTAGAACTGCTGCATTGATGTTAACCTCGTCATCTACAAGTCTATATTCAGTTCAGGGTTTTACTGTTGTCATTTATTGTATTTTTATCGTGAAATATTAAGTATTAAAGCAGCGCACTTTTTGGGGTTGTGCCATACTACTTATAAATGTTTAACCGCTTCAGTTTCCAATGGCTTTTATGTACTTTGAGAAATGTTCTGAATAGTTGTTCAGGAATAAGATACGTGTACTGTTTTACTGCTTGTATCCCATTGTGATTTTCCATTTTGTTGTCACCGTTTCGTTTTATCATGTAAACCCTGATAGTAACTTCCTCAAAATCCTAAGTAAAATTTATGTGATAGTTTGATGTATATGATCTCTATGTATAATGTCTCAGTGAATTGCAAACGTTATACATCTGACTTTGACAGATACTTACAAGAATTTACATCACTTGGGACTGCTGGTGGTATATATCAGTTTCGCGACCAGTTGTTATCCGGATCTCCAGACTTGTTATTTGTTATGAACGGTGATGTTTGCTGTGACTTACCTCTAGAAGAAATGCTTGAATTTCACAAATGCCTAGGCACTGGAGATCGGTTCGTAATTATGGCGACTGACGTAAGTTGACTTTGCTTTACTTATTATTTTAGTTAGTTTTGTGAATTAATATAACGTGATGTTTTGAGATGATGCTTATGACAGTATGTACTATCTAGTTGGCATGGTATTTCAGGACACTCAGAGATATTACAAAACTAATTCGTTCTGTATCCTCTGGTACATTTTAATATCGTGGTACATTGCGTGTTCGCTCAGGTACCGCTTCTAACTGCTTGTTTGATTTAGTTGGTTTAAAAGCGCCCCACTGTGTATGCTAGATTCTGTTTTGGTTTCTCTACATCTATATCCTACGCAGTTGTCTTCTACCTCAATAAATGTTTCTATCTCAAAATAGCCTGAGGCTTTCATGAACAGTTACTTAAATAGGGACAAACTGTTATATCCAGTGAATTATTAAAACCCAAGACATCGATTTAACATTGAAATGTTCATCTGATGTTTGTATTAGATGCGATATTTTATATGTGATTTTATAATCGGCTCAACTTGGTGTATATTAGGGTTCGTCGTATTCCGATAATGACATTTCGTCTTTCATCATTTTGGTCGCCAGAGCCTAATATTTTCCTAGTTACCATACCATTCTCGGACATTTGTCAGACTCAAAATGTTCTATACGACGAATTTACAAGCAAAACTGCTTGATGATCCAGGAGTTTCACTCACCCAATTCTGAAAGCTGTATCCGTCTACCGTTTCCACCAAATAACTTGTTTTTAGAGCACGTCAGTTATCATTTTAAACTAGTGGTAATACTGTTTTCAGCAAAGTGTCCCAGATTACAATCATTTTCTCGACGAGCTCACTACACGTTCGTATAGGATACAGTGATCACAAGTTCCAGGTAATAGGTCACACAACCTTTATATTTAGACAGTGTCGTCTAACCTCATTGTCAACTGGATCTAACACTGACTAAAGTTGAAGAAAGTAGATAAGATGGAATAGGCTAACTGATTTCAATATAGAACTTTGCACAGATGCGCAGCAGTTCCAGTTGCCATTCTTCATGTAATACACAAAGGAAGAAAAGGGAGTAAAAAGAGATCCAAAAGAGAGATAATAATCAGAAATGTGAGGGAAAAAGAATAGTGATATGGAAGAACAATATAATTCTGTTGGACATTATAAATTACAAAGAATGGACGCATCTGCGCCACTGAAAATGATTTTGAGTCATATCACCAATTGTCTCCAGCCATTAGTTCTTAGAATTCAGAGGATCCCAACCAGTCTGGAAGTCTGCATCTCCCTACGTGGCTGGCTGGCTGGCTGGCTTAAACTAACTGTTGTGGATTTCAATGACTGATGAAGCCATGTTTTGGTTTGACTACCACTAGATCTGTCTTTTCCAACCTGATCCTATGTCAGCTAACATTACTCATCGAGGGAGGCGGCGGCTAGGCATACGTAACACGTGTCCTAACCATCCGTCTCAATCGATGCAACTTTACAACCTCGTCGGTTGATTTCCCCTCTCACTTACCTAGCACTCGACTGATGCCTTACCTCAATATTATTCACCCTATTATACCACCTAACATGGGAGATGGAACACAGACATCTATGATGAAAGACAACTAACGGGAATTTTCATGTCTCCCACTTTCAATAGGCTTGTCCCACATCCGTATTGAAGGATGGAAGATGGAAGGGACTGTTGAGCACTACCACATCCTTTGGTCGACAGCCGGATATCACGTCTGCGCAAAAGACGGCATATAAGATGGAATACGTTTAATTTTTGTTTATTGTTTGCTCTCTTATCAATAAGCCATTCTAAATTTCATTTTATAAATTTGTATCTTTGATTTTAGGCAACGCGTCAACAGTCAATGAAATTTGGTTGCATTGTTGAAGATCCCATTACTCATGAAGTAGGTAGTTGTACACTTGGATATTTTCAGATGTAGTTCACGTTAAACTCTTCAATGGAATTAAATTTCATTTTAGTGTTTACACATTTTTGTCAGGTGAATTTACTTCTCAGTGGAACTAACTAGCTTTAGTATTGTTTTAGTCTTGTCAGACGAGCCGTGTTAGTCTAGGAATAATCGTTTAAAAAAAAAATTAATACTAGACTTACTGTGATGTGGCATCATTTCATAAAGCCTTTGAATGTTGATCTGAATCTATAGAGAAGTATAGTTTGCCCAAGTGTTGTTCGCAGGATGCTACTAAACGATAGTTTGGGAATTTAGTGATTTTGGTTAAGTCGACATCAATCATGCAGACGTATTTAAAGTTGCCAGGTACTACATTCGTCCTTGTCTGTCCGCAGTGAAATACGAATTTACCTTTGCTTTACGAATTGAGTCCTCTTACTTTTGCAAAGAAATGAATCACATGGCTTTATTTATTCTCATACTACTTCAACTTTCTTCATGACAATCCCAGTGACGAATAGATTTGCTTTTATTCATCGAATACCACATATAGTTAATCATGCCTTGCTTGAATAATTTAATTTCATCGTAATCGTCTGAATAGTATTCAATAAGTTGAAAGTCTTCTCATGTAAAAGAATTATGCTGTTGTGAGTTGTTGTTGAATAATAAGTTGAAGTATGTTTTTAGGCAAGGGAAAGAATCAAATAGCTTAATTTCACCTAATTGACAATCTATTTTAAATGGTAATTTTGTTTTATATTTTCTCTTTAAAGGTCATGCATTATGTTGAAAAACCAGCCACCTTTGTCAGTACAACTATAAATTGTGGGATTTATCTATTTACTCCGGGAATATTTAAATTTATCCGTATAGCTTTTCTTGAACATCAGAATCAACTGAAGTAAGTAAACCTCTTGATGAATGGTTTTAGTGTTTAGTTGTTGTATAGTACTACTATCTTTTGTAGACTTAAGTTTTTTTAAATATTTAATACTGTTCTGATCTTAGCGATTGAGTTATTTGGCTCTATGTTATACTTATTCTATCTGTCTGTCTGTTTTCGACATAGAAGTTTGCACCGATGTGTGCGGCAGTTCAAGTCGCCACACTCCATGTGGCACACAAAGCAAGAGAAGAAAGTAGAAGATATGCGTAATAGAGACAGTATAGAGAGGTTTGGGACTTATACTTATTATAAGGTGTTATATTGTAATTGAGAACATTTTATGCGGTTACAGAAGTGAAAATTATATATATATATATATATATATATATATATATATATATATATATATATATATATAGGGAGAGAGAGACTTACCAGATATAGGGAAATCTAATGGTGATGTTTATATTTTACATAACTTTCCTGAGTCGTCCTATTCTTCTTAGCCAACATTGGTATTTTACCGATTTCTTGATTGTGTAATAACTTGTTGCCGACGTCTAAGAATCAACTTATCTTGAATTCCGTAATTAATTTTCACGCCTCTTTTAAAACTTAGATATCTTGTTAATAACATCTATTAGTTATTTGCTTTGATGACCTTTAACCTCTTGATTTCACCCCTGCCTATACCTAAAACTGCTTAACTAAAATAGTCACTTGATTGGTAAAAAAGAATTTGATGTAAAAAACTATATGTTAGTGTAGAGCCGATGCTGAGGAACTAATTGAAAAGGAATATATTTCTTCGCTCAGTCTGTTGTTAGTCATTTGGTTGGCATGTGATTCCAATGAATGACAAAAAGGTGATGGATATGAAAGTGGGTAGACGATTAGAAAAGTTTTGTATAGGTATGGAAGTGTGTAGATGGTCATTGATGCTCCTGGTGCCCACACCGTAGAAGTTGATTTCATCCTAGAGAATTGGTGTTGCGTGATTGTAGAGTCTAAGCAAAACATCTCACTTTTGTTACATCGCTGTTCACCAGGATTACGACTTCGCCGCACAGACCCTCCAGCTTAGTGTGATGGTAGTAGGTGATTTTAGTTTAATCGCTACACAAACAACCTTTCTGGCATAGCAGAACCTACAGGAAGCCTAGCCCTATCTAGTATTGCTCGTTAAGTTATTTTAGTATGTAAGCTCGAGTATCAAGTCAATGCGTTCGCGTGTGTTTCCAGTCACTTTTAGTGTGTCTATAAAAATAATATATAAACTCAGCAAATCTGACCGTTAGTTTCTTGTTCTGGGGTTCATTTAACCAGGTCTTGCGATGGTAAATACTCGAGTACGAGGAGATAGTAGTTGTCAAAGTAGCTGACATCTCCGGATATGACCCTACTGTTTTTTTTTGTGCAGGAGAGAAGCTATCACGTACATAGTCCAGCATTAAAAGTATAACTGAGCAGTTTTCAGCGTGTTTATAAGGCGAACAACGACAAAATGCGTGTAATCCGCAGCTTTTTAACAGGTTTTTGTGTAGTCTGTAGGTAACTCGTTGTTGTAAGGCTGAAGACGACAGTCTTCTCCATCAGGGGATGGATGTGTTAGAGAGGAGAAAAAAATCATGAGGAGCCATAAATCACAGTGGCCTCTACCATGTTCGATGCGAAGTGGATGCACACTGATGACATTCGTTAGCGGTGTTACTATGTTGTGAATTGATAGGAGTTAAGATTCATGAGTCCCTAGGCTCTATTTCAATATCTGAATGATAACTATTCCCGGCGCGTAACCTAAACCTGTAGGGTTCAGTCAGCTTTGGGGTTATGGATGCTCACTGCTGGAAGACTCACACTTGATTTAGTTGTGTTCTCTGAGCTCTTTCGTTGTCCTTCCAGACATCTTCACACTAAAATGAAACAACTGCTCATCCATTCCTAGTTTTCTACACTAAATTTTTTTCAATTTGTCACTAAGTCAGATTCTATTCTATCACAAACAGAAGTTTTCTTTTTTATTCCTTTACATTCCCAGTGGGACATAGGGCTTCAAGCTAGAGGCTTGAAGTTTTTGTAGCAGTGGTGTTTAGTTTTACGGGATGGAGTCGCTAACCTCATGCCTAACCTTCCCCCTTCACCAGTCTTACTACTGGCTTAGCTAGGTAAGGGTGTGCATCTGTGGTCGGCGAGCATTCTACCGTTGTGCCACCGACACACACAAGCAGAAGTCCAACTCTTTTATTTCTTAAGGACACTGTTAGGAAAGTGAGGAATATCAGCTCTTAAGAACACTATTGATAATTCAATTGCATTGACTCATTGCTCTTATGCCGAAATTTTTTGACCACATGTTATACTTTGATCATACTGAATTATTGAACAAGCACGAATTGTGTTAATAGTAACACGAGTATATGACAATATTTTGTTCAACATAGAATTCATTATTGGTGTCCAATAGTAAACATTTCATTATTATCATGATTGATTTCATAATAATAATAATAAATTCAAAATGCTTAAACTACTATTATTTTGATCTGATTTAAAAGTTGTTAATGTGTTATCAGACAGTAATTGGCTAGTCACATGTATTGACCTTTCTAACCTTAATATATTCACTGAGTTATTCTCTAGGTGAATAAGTTTTGGTTGATTCACTGTGATTTTGTGTGTGTATGTGAATTGAGTCAACACTTCAATGTTATCTGCTGTATGATGTTTAGAATGTTATGATTCTTGTTCTTGTTGTTGAGATTTCTCGTAACTTTCTATTTGTACAATCTATTTTTAGTTTTACAATATTTAATGATAATGTATAAGTGAAGTATTGTCTTACTGTCATAAATTCTATCGATTTATCTGTTTGAGTTAGCCAGAGAAAGTGGTCGTTGTCTTGGTGTTGGCAGACGTCGTACTTGTTCTGTTTCTTCAAAGATTTCCTGATTCAGTTAGTCGAATCCCATCCTAATTACTTGACATTCACACGGAAATTTACTAGAATTATCACTTATTTATTGACTATAATTAAAATTAATTAAAAGAGCATTCAATGTCTCTGAAGTAAGCTGTATTTTCAAAACCACCCTCAATTTTACTATCAGAAGTAAAATGACCAACTATCTAATTTAGCCTCTTCTATATATACATCTACCAATCTGTTTGCTCTTATGAAGCCAGTTACATAGGCCATACAATTAGGTGTGTTTATCACCGGATTTCCGAATATCATCCTGCGTGGTTCAGTAAAGGACAAACAAAATCCATTCATAGCTTTATTCTTCTCATCTTGTGGATACAGAGCACAACATTGTTGTTAACGAAGCTTTAAAGTCATCTACTGCATACGAACTAATCTTAACTTTATCTTAAGAGTTCGTCTGTTACATGTTTCCAATGCTATCCGAATTCATATTCAGAAGCATAACTTAACGTATCGAAAAGAAGTTGTTTCAGAAGTCTCTTTCCTTATCTTGGACAGCTATGTTTTAAATATCTTGAATTCACTGCATACATTTTAGTTGGTATTCTATTTAATACCATATTTTTATGCTTCGTTATAACTTATGCGTCTTTCTTGAACTGTAATTCCACTGATCTTAACAGTTTGATATTATTTTCAAAAGACGTCAGTATTGTTAATGACGAGAGAATATTCCTTGCTAAAACTTTATTTTTTCTTCTAAAATTTATTACACAGATTTGTATGCATTGATTGACTTACGTTATATAATTCAGTTATTCATAATTTCACTTTGCGCAGGATAAATCTCTTTAGGGCATACATTCCATGTCTGTCTGTCTGGATTCAACATAGAACTTGGCACCGAAGTGCAGCAGTTCGAGTTGCCACGTTCCAAATAGCACACAGAGGTAGACAAGAAGATGAGTGGAGAGAATTAATAGAGTTTGACAAATATAAGAGTGAAACAGAATGGGTAATGGTAGAAAGGAATATGAAAGATTACAGAGATTGAATACATCTGCGCCATTGACAACGATTTTGAGCCATGTCACCTATTGTCTCCAGCCATTGATTCCTAGAGTCCCGAGGGCCCCAACCCGGGAGTCTGCATCTCCCTACCTGACTCAGTTTAACTGTCAAGGATTTCATGGATTGATGCCATGTTTTTGTTTGGCCACCACTGGCTCTTTTCCAACCTGAACCTATATCAGCTAACAATGCCCGTCGGGGGAGGCGGTGGTTAGGCATGCGCACCACGTGACCTAGCCATCTTAGTCTATGTAACTTTATAACCTCGTCGATTGATTTTCCCTCTTTGCCCAACACTCTACGCCTAACGTCAACATTACTTACCTTGTGAAACCACCTAACGTGAGACAGAGATCGCAGACATCTATGATCGAAAGCAGTCAACCTTTTCATGTCTTCAACGCGTATTGGCCATGTTTCAGAGCCATAGAGAAGGACGGAGCGAACTGATGAGCAGTACACACGTCCCTTGGTTGATAACCGGATGTCACGCCTACGCCAGAGATGGTGTAAGTCAGCGAAAGCAGCTCGAGCTTTTCGGATCCGTGCTGAGATTTCATCGCCAATCAGTCCGTTGGTGCTAATACAACTTCCCAAGTAGGTGAAGTGGTCAACATGTTCTATCACTTCACTCCCTATCACTAAGTTAGGGGTTGACGTCGTCCAGTCCTGTAGCAGCATCTTACATTTTGCAGGGGCGAATCGCATGCCAAACATACGAAGATTGCTGCTCAAGGTGTTCAGAAGACTCTGCATTTTGTCAGCATCCTCCCCTAACAGGACTATGTCATCTGCATATTCTAAGTCCATTAGATTATTCCCTGGTAACAAGTCGATTCCTAAGTCACTACGTTCAGTTAAGGATACTTCCATTAGCATATCTATGATGAAGTTAAACAGAAATGGGGAAAGTGGACATCCCTGTCGGACACCACTGGTTGTTACTAATTCAGATGACAATTCCCCATAAGCCCTTACACGACTACGTGAGTTTGAATAGAGTGCCTTGATTAGTGCAATGTACTTTCTTGGCACTCCCTTCACAGTCAGACATTGCCATAGTACTTTTCGGTCCACGGAGTCGAAGGCCGCCTTCAAGTCAAGAAATATGACAATTGTTGGACGCCGAAAAGTGTGTCTATGTTCTAGAATCTGTCGAAGAGTGAAGATATGATCTATGCACCCTCTACCTGGTCTAAAGCCTGCTTGATTTTCCCTTGTCTGTTCCTCCCGAGTTCTGCTTAGTCTATGCATGATTACTGAGCCTAGGATTTTAGAGACTATGTTCGTTAGGCTGATCCCCCTATGATTATCACACGAGGACTTGTTTCCCTTCTTGAATATCGGTATAATGAGTGACTTACCCCAGTCTGATGGTACTGTCTCTGATTCCCAGACTTTGCCTAGTACCTCAGTTAATCTACAAACTAGTATGTCACCCCCATATTTAAACACCTCCGGAATAATTCCGTCGGGTCCTGCCGCTTTGCCTCGTTTCAAATTACTGATAGCTTTTGTAACCTCACCTACAGACGGCGGACCAGTGTCTATATCCCATTCGGGTACGTGGTGGATGGCGGGGAGGTTCAGTGTGGCTGTAGGCAAGTTAAATTGTTCCTCAAAGTGTTCCATGTTACATTCCATGTTACATTGATTATCAGCATTAACTACTGGGTATAAGTTTAAGAAGTTCACTTTATATACATCCTTCAGATAGAGAAATTAAAAAAGGTAAACAACTTCAGTATTAGCGATTTATAAGAAAAAGTAGTCGTGGTAGTCAGCTTTTTAGTGGCAGAATATTGACTAACCACGCATGTGGTCTAAGGTTCGATTCCTGGCTGATGCACTTCTAAACCTCAGCCAGTTTACTAGTCCATAGTAAGCTCAGAAAGAGGAGAGAAGGTTGATCGTGAGGCTAGCAATTCCACACCGTCGAAATAACACCACCGCTAAGAAGACTCTAAAAACGGAAGCTTGAAGTCCTCTATGTTACATTCGGAACGCAAAGGATGAAGAGGAAGTCGTAAATAAATAGTAACCAACTTTATTGTGTATTGCCGGAATTGAGACAAACTCTTTAAACTACTGTCAGCATAAAGTAATGATATCTCAAGTTGGAAAAATAAGAGTGAATGGAACGTTGAGTCGGTAAAACGAAAGCTATTGTTTTGAATTTTATTGCATCCCGTGTTTTCTTTGAATTTCAGTCATCATTCTTTTACCTAGCTGTCGTTTCGTCGTACTTTACAACTGTGAGACGTGGACATTAAAAGTGGGAGACATAAAGAGATTAGCGATTTTCAACTATAGATAACTCTGTTCAGTATCTCATGTGAGTTGGAGTCAATTGGTTAGCAATAATAAGGTTAAGAGTAGGCCACGAGGTGTGAAACACAATTGAGTTTGTGAAGGTATATCGATTAAAGCGGTTAGAACATGTAATACTCGTGCTGAAACACCATCTTCTACGAAACAGGTTGAATTTGGAAGACGCTTAGGGAAGTGGGTGTTCAGATTTAAACGTGGGGCCAATCGATGAAGTCTTTGGCTTTTAGTCCGAGCTATGTAGGTGGGTGTAAACTGTGGCGACTTGAACTTCCGCACATTTGTGCAAAGTTCTATGTCGAAAACCGACAGACAGACAGACAGGGTGTAAACTGCCTGGCTTTGATTCTCAAGATCTTAATCAGTAGTTGTGAACTTTAGTGGTATGGCTTTTAATTGCTGAAACAACCATGTTAAATAATGTATTAAAATATCAAGAAAATCTATCCAAAAAATGGTGTCATCTTGAAGCAAAAATAGGCTTTACATAGTAGGTAGAGAATAGTGTTTAAAAATCCAGGCTTTACAAAATAAATTTTACGAAATATTCGTCAAAGTTTGAAAATTAAATGTTCTACGTTTCTCGTCTCATATCTAAAACTTACTAGCTTAATAAGTTCTTATATGTCTAATGGTTTCTTTTCTCATGAAGATAGAAACTAAGTGGCTGTTACTTTATACGATAGGCAGATTAACCACCTGACTACTGAGGTACACTGGGCGTCAGTAATACTTATTATATAGTACTGATTTCTGTGTTCTAGTGAAAACAGGAAAAAAAACGTCACTCTGTCAATTTAAATTATAGAATGTTCATTTCCAATACTAATTTAAACACTTAGTTTGAAAGATTGTTTCAAGTTTGATCACAAACTAATTTCACAGATGGAGAACCATTGAAAACCTGAAGGAAGGTAGACAGTTATTTCGTCCTTGTTCTGGGCTTTTCATCACTATGCACTCATGATCCCTCCTGCCTGGGATCGAATCTAGACCCTCCAACTTACAAGGTCAGCTCGTTCGCAATGTGGGTGTCGTCAAAGGTGCCTACTGATGAAGAGACTTAGAATAGGACGAAACACATGTCCAGTACTGGTTTTCAGTGGTTCTTTAACTGAAGTTAGTTACTGATAACCTCGAAATAAATTAGATTCTCGGAAACCAATACATGAAAGGGTATTATTTAATGTAAAATATCCAGAGTTAATGTTTAATTCTTTTTAATATTTCTCGCATTTAAACTACAGTCGATTATTTATAAACTCTTCCTCCTTTTTTTGCAAAATTTCTCAATAGCTATGATTTAAGACCTTCGTGCAAAGAAAGTATTCACTTAGAACGAGAAATATGCCAACCATTAGCTGGAAGTGGTACCTTATTTGTTTATCATACCAATCGATTTTGGAGTCAAATTAAATTTGCTGGGTAATATTGAAATAGTTCTTATTTTTTTTTCAAGAAAATTTATTGATTGAATTCTGTGTATTTGCTTATTCGGTGCAATCTTCTTTGTTTTCCTGTATTTTGTTTTCAATATACCGCAAACCGTGATTCATACTTGTCTAAAAGCTCATGATACTATTTAAATAAGCAAACGGAGGGGGGATGTGTGTCACCCTTGGACACCCTCAGCCAAACTCCATCGTTCCTCATTCCGGTTCCCCTCGAGGGAATATGATGCCATTCACGTGATTTCACTAAAATATTCTAATTGACTGTTCCGAGATCATTGATGTGGCATTTCGTTTGGAATCCTATCATCTAACTTCTCCCTGAAATCAGCTATGATATTAAAATCTACCCTGGTCTAAATGTCATAAACACGTATTTTTTTTATCACTAAAATTAATTGAAAATCATTCATAACTAATAATAGAATATATAACTCATATCTAAATTATGCTATACTCTTAAAGAAAATTTCACTTGCCCCAGACAGGGCTCATCAAAAACAAAAATAACCTATTCACACTGGTTTAGCTATAGACAGTGACCTTTGAAGCGCATTAGTTTTTAAAAAAAGTTTCTGACAGTTATAATTTTCCCTTGAAAATCAGAATAACAGAAAAAATAAAGCCATCGATCGATTTTCATAACAATGTTAACAGTGATAAGTGATCACAGATTGACATTAGTTAAAGAACTATTGGAAACCAGGGAGAGCTGGATAGCTGTTTCATTCTAGTTTGGAGCACTTCAGTTACACGCACTCATGACTTCATAGGGGATTGAATCCAAGAGGTGAGAACTACTGTAAGATTATTACTTTCCAGCGTATTGGTTTTTGTTTAGTTGTCGTCTAGTGACCCAAAGATGCTTTGTTCAATTCCCAAGGGGTAGGGCGTTCATGGATGCGTACTTCTGATGAGTTCCAAGCCAGAACAGAACAACTCTCCGGTGCCATCTGATTTTCACTAGTTGTCTAACTGATATCAGTCTACGATATAACTGGGAACCAATAAGATTCTTGCTAATCAGCACTTGAAAGTGATGAGTGACTTTATTCTTAAATACAAATGGTGATGTTCAGAAGGGGTAGAGGTTACAAATGAGGACTGCTAAATACCTGACTCACCAGCAGCAACAGCATTATTGTACATTTTCATAATTAAGGTTAAAAATTAAAACAAACTAGTTCTGAGTATTACACTACTTAAAGGAAAGTTTATTGGATTTAAGAGAAAAAAAAATTAAAGAAAGTAACATAAAGCTAGCAAGCCATGGCTAACAAGTGAAAAGGGTTTTGATGTGGTTTTGTTCTCTGAGCTGGATGGTTAGTTTGCGAAGCTTTCATCACCTTACTGGGTGACATCTTCAGCGCATACCTCATATCTAAGTGAAAGGGTAGATGGATGTTAAATAAGTCCATACAATCACAGTCAAATTATCTAGATGTCAAATACTTAGATTGAAACAGTTAACTGCTAATGTGATGACAAAGGTAGATTAATTGCTAGCTGTGGGGAGGGGATGTAGTGGCCTAGTGGATAAGGCTTTACATTGGCGGTTCAGTGATAGAAGAATCGCCGGTCACACATGTGGTTTGGGTTCGACTACCGACTGATTTCTAAACCTTGCCTAGTTTACCAACCGGTAATAAGACTGGAAAAAAGAGGGGAGGTTGGGCGTGAGGCTGGCAATCCTGCTGCATAAAAACAGCAGACGCCACCGCTACTGAAACTTCAAGAGTTGAAGTCCTATGATCCAATGGAAATGCATGGAATTAAAGAAGAAGTGATACGAGTAATTTCCTCAGATTTTAATGACACTAGGTAGATGTATTCTGCATACAAGAGTCGGTGTTTCTGCAGTAGAACGCTCACCAAATACCAACGTCTAAGGTTCAATCCCCGACTGACGAACTCCTAAATCATGCTAAGCCAGCAGTAAGGCCGGTTTAGATGAAATGTTGAGCTTGAGGCTAGCAACCTCACCCTGTAAAAACAAGACCATTGCCACCGAAAATTCAAAGACCTAGTTTGAAACATTATGTTCCACTCGAAACGTACATTATTATTATTCTCCTGGGTTCTGAGTGGAACATAGAACTTCAACAACACGTCTCCACTTTATTCGATTTTCTGCTGTTCTCTTCAGCTGGGTCCACGACTGCCCACAAGCTCTCATATCCTCTAAATCACACGATCTACTCCATGTTACCCTCCCACTGACGACCCATTCGTCGTTTCCCATTCACCTTTCACTCTAATGATGGCCTGTATTGCGCGCGATGTCATTTAACGGCCTCCTTAACGTATGCCCGATCCATCTCCATTTTTTCTCCTACATATTTTTAAGCAATCAACTCTCTTGTTGATTAGTTCCCAGACAGAGTTTCTTGTTGCTAATTCTTCCTGTCTGGCCTGCCACTTTTTCTTCAATATGGAGCCAGCTATGGTGGTAGCTGTTGATAAAAGTCTGCAGTGGCCTGTTGGAAATTCTTTTCGTGACACACTGGCCAAATTTCTGACCCATATTGAAGAACTGACAGACTTGACGTTTGTGTTGAAAATCTGAATCTTGTTCTTTATGCTGAGGGGGAGTGCAGAATATTTCCAAAGTGGTTTCAGGTTGATGAAGGCTTGTCTTACCTTTCCGAAACGTAAAGGAATCAATTAAAGTAAAGATAGCTACGTGTTATTGCTGATGTCTGGGTTTTTAATATTATGAATATATATGAACTTCAGTTACTTTACAGTCTCCACTTGTCTGCATCTCTGAAAATTACTTTGAGTGTTTTTGCTGAATTGAAATATTTTATATTCAACTTTTCAACACTTGTAACCCTCATAATAATTAATATTGTTATTTAAAAAAAAAAATCAAATTTTAGTGCTGTTATCTATGCGAATCGTCATATATTATCACTTTATGAAAGAACACATCCACATAGACTTGCAAAAATGACGCTATCAAGTTCAGCTGATCTACAAATATTGGATAATAATCCGGATAGCTCATCTTTAATTGTTATGAATGGTGGAGATTGTCGACCGACAACATGTGGACCAGTTATAATAGGTCATGTATTCATACATCCAACAGCTACAATTGATAGAACAGCTGTTGTAAGTAATAATGTGTATATATCTATATGTATACTGAAAAAATATACAATTTTGTTTTCTAAATGTCATGCATTAAATTCCTTGTCTATATTCTATATTTTTTATGTGCAAATATATTGTGACTTTTAATAAAATACAGCCATATTATAACAGATAGATCGGAATGAGACTTGACATTAGTTCAGGTTATCACTCTCCAAAACGACATAAAATTGATCAGAAAGTATTATAGTACTACCGTTAATAAGCATGCGTATTGCATGGAAAATAAATCATTAAATGATAACTGGTGAGAATGATAAAGAATAGACACAATCTAGATTATCGCGAACGATTTTAAGCCGTCATCATGAAGGGGTATGTAGCCTTGGATTCCTAATACCTCAAGGAGAGGTATGCACCTCTTTAGGTATAGGTCGTTTAATTCTTTCAAGACTTCACGAATTGATATTATGTTCAGTCTAACTACTTCTAACTTCTTTTCATCGTAATTCTGCTTCAGTAAACATTACATACCGACTAAGGGGTGGGGGTTCAGCACTACCAACATATGGCCCAGGCATCCTGAGTAGATTGAGATTTACAACGTCATCAGCTGGTTTACGGTTATTACCTGACACCAATTTTGATGTCATTATTACTCAGTCTCTGACACTATTATACAAGAGCACTATAAGTGGAGAACTTCTAATCTTTGTATACATCCTCTTAGTAAGTGTATATTTTTTCATCCTTAAAGTTGCTATTGTGTAGTGCACGGATCGTTCGATGGATTATCAGGGATGAAGCGAATTCATGGATATCAATAGAGAGATAATAAACAGAAAATACGAGGGAAAAAGGATAGTAACATGGAAGAACAATAGAGTTTTATTGGATATGATAAATCACAAAGAGTGAATGCATTTGCGACAGTTATTGAGAACGATTTTGAGTTATATCACCAATTGTCTCCAGTTTTCATTGGTTCTTATCATCCTATGGACCCCAACCAGTCAGTAAGTCTACACCTCCCGACGTGGCTGGTTGGCTTGAACTAACTGCTGTGAATTTCATTGACTGATGAAACCATGTTTTGGTTTGATCACCACTAGCCTTCTCTTTTCCAACCTGATCCTATGTCAGCTAACATTACTAATCGAGGGAGGTGGTGGCTAGACATGCGTAACTTATGTCCTAACCATCCTTGTCAATCGATGTAACTTCACAATCTCACCGGTTGGTTTCCCCTCCCACCTACCTAGCACTCGACTGATGCATTACCTCTATTACTCACCCTATTATACCACCTAACATGGGAGATGGAACACAGACACCTATGATGAAACATAACTAACGGGAATTTTCATGTTTTCCACTTTCAGTGGCCATGTCTCACAGACATAAAGGAGGACAGTACACGGCTGGATGTCATGTCTGCGTCAGAGGTGGTGTAATTTGTTGTATGCCAAACGAGCCTTCTGTGTCCGTGCTGTTTCGCCTGAATAGCAAACCAATCCTTTATGCCGTCTCTTCTTTGTCTTCTTTGAGATACTCGTGAGGGTACCATATATTTTAATAGATTAAAACAGAGTGAGCAACAGGAATTATATGCAGTATAATGATGGACTTATTCGTAACCCAAGTTTTAAGCCGCTTTGTCTGTCAGCAAAGCGATGAAATAGAAATATATCTCATTGGTTCCATTATGGAATGGTTCCATAATGGAATTATACTCTACCACAGTGCATAAGTTTTATTCTTATATATCTCATTGGATCACAGGTTCGAGCTCTGTCTCAGCACTCAGTAGTTCGCTTGATAAGTACCGTTTTCTGTTGTATTATATAACATGGATATAGTATTTTCAGTAGGTTATATTTATGCCAAAAAAGTGATTCTGTTCCATTTCTCCTCATATCATCACCAATGTGTTTGTTGTTTTTTCTTTCTTTCTAGATAGGGCCTAATGTCAGTATAGGTGAACGAGCTGTTATAAAAGCTGGTGTACGCTTAAGAGAATGTATTGTACTCAGGGATGCAGAGATTCGTGCTCACGCGTGTTGTTTAAATGCAGTAATTGGATGGAATACTGTAATTGGTGAATGGGCACGTGTTGAAGGTACACCGAATGATCCAAATCCTAATAAACAATTTACTAAACTTGATGTACTACCTGTTTTTAATAGTAAAGGTCAATTAAATCCATCCATTACTGTTATTGGTAAGTTTTTATTGACTATTCTATTATTTCTATTGTCAATATATATATCAGTAGTCGAATAATGTGTACAAAATGGCTGGCAAGTTAGCCTACATAGTTGTTCTACTGATTGGGCTACGAATCAAACTACTTTCATTTCTTTACGTTATCAGTGGATCATAGGGCTTCAAGCTATGGCTTTAAAGTTTATCTAGAAGTGGTTTTATATATGTGGAGTGACGTGGCTAACCTCATGCCTAATCTTCTCTCTTTACCGGTCTTGCTGCCGGCTTTGCGAGATTTAGGGGTTCGTTGGCCGGGAATTGGACCCTAGACGACAAACATAGTTGGTGAGCATCCTACCGTCGAATCACCGACTCACATATCATCAAACTACTTCCTAAGACATTATTCTGCTTAAACTACAAATGACGTGTTGGAATATAAAATCCAGGTCTTATATTATTATGTTACCAAAAGCGAACTTGGTACATTATAGGCACCAGGAGATACGTCATACAAAATCTCATAGTTTTTTCGAGGGCACACAGACCGAAGCAGGTGGTTTTCCTAATGGACCACCTCCCTCGCCTTCTACTTGGAGCCTGATCTACAAGGCCTCAGGAACTACTTTCACTTGGTTTCCAGTGTCCAAAACAGATTCATGCAGCATATGACCCGTTTGGGTTCTTGAGCCCACGTACACCGCAGGTTTGGAATTAGGGTTTACGTGCTTGTCTAGGTAGATCAGCATGTCTACCAATTCGCTTGTAAGCGCCAAGTGTCCACATTCTCACTTTCACTTTCATGAAGAACACCACAACCGTATGAAGGCGGTGAACAACACTTACTTAGCGGAGGATATAAACGCGTGATCGTATAAGAGCTTCTTGAGTGTAAAACCGAAGTCCACCTATCCTCAACCATACTATGTCGTATAATTTCAAAAGGGAAAGTGATAACCAGTCTTTTCGTCACTACTTGCTTTCTGAGCGGGACATAGGGCTCTAAGCTTTTTGGGTGGTGTTGTTGTTGTTTCTACGGCGTAGGAGCGTTGACCTCACACCTAACTTTCCCTCTTTAACTGCCTTATTTACTTACTGCGAGTTAGTAAACTAGGCCCGGGTTTAAGAGGTCGTTGGTGGGGAATCGAAGCCACGCTCTCCACGTGGCTGATGAGCATTCCACCGTCGAACCATTGATATACCAAATTAAATGGTCCTTTTATGTTATGGTGTGCATTGTTAAAACTTAATTGGTTTAAAATTAGGCATTTCAATTCACTCTTCTAGTTTTACCAGTCATACATGATGCATATTAGACATTTCTCTACTGAAATCCTATACTGTGGTGTCTTGAAACCAATATTTTGTAAAGCTAGTTGTCAAGTAGTATTGAGGTGATCTGTTCAACTGGGCCATTGGTTTATAATATAGCTGTGAACTCAACAATCCACAACATTAGAATAGTTAAAATCTGCAATACTTCAGATTTTGTTTTCTTTCCTTTGCGTTCCTAGTGGAACACAGGGCTTCAGGCTTTGACCTTTGAAGTTTCAGCAGCGCTTGCGGCAGTTTTAAGGGGTAGAGTTGTTACCCTGACATCAAACTTTCTCTCTTTCCCGGGTTTACTACTGTCTAGTCGAGGTTTAGGAGTACGTCAACCGGGAATCGAACCCGGATCACGTGTATAAATGGTAAGCATACTACCTTTGTACTATCAACGCACAGAAATGCTCCACATATATGCAGAAGATAACATTTGTCATGAATAGATGTCTTGCCAAGGCGTTGATCAATAATATGCATAATTATCATTCGATGACTAGTCAGTTTATGACCATATTGACACATTAAGTTGACATTAAGTTATTTTGCAAAACATTCATTCATTTTACCATCCTTGTTTCACAATTATTATGATTATAATTATGTGTTCCCATTGTTAAAATGAAAAAAATCAATCATATAGGCGGTAAATATTATTATTCTTCAATTAAATCTTCACCAGGTTTTATGCTAACGGTGCATAGATTTAGATAGACAATATTTTTAACGAATGACCCTCAATTCGTGGATCAAAAATAATAAGTGTAGAATGTTATAAATATGTCAGTAATAACAACGATTTGAATATTATAGTAATACTAATGATAATAGGGTCAATAATAACGAAATTACAAGCAGTTGGTTATATAAATGATAATGTAAACAATTCCAATAATCAAATTAAGTCGAGTTCAATTTGTTTTTTCCGAAAAGTTCGACGGAATGCAATTTTTCTTTCATTGCTTTGAGTTCTGAGTGGAATGTATGGGTTTCAAACTTGAGTTTTGAAGTTTCAATAACAGTGGTGTTATTTTCCGCGCGTAACCTGTCCTCTTTACCGGACTTACTACCATGTAGACGAGGTCTACAAATTCGTCAGCCAGGAGTTGGACTCTGACGACATGTATGGCCAGCGAGTATTCTGCCAATGAACCAATGACATGATAGATGAGTGTGAACCCTTTATCAATAAAATGAGACAAAATAGAGTTTCTCATTGATTTCGTTCTACGCTTTTTGCCGAATTATGTAAAAAGGTATTTAATTGGTGGATGATGACTAGCAGTGGAATCCAGAGTGCACATTTCGTCCTATTCGAGACTCGTCGGTTGGATGTATCTGCATTCCTCAGTAAGTGATGACGTTCCCACCGACGCCAAAGCGTTATCCACTAGACTGAGTTCGAGCCTCGGTGGGAGCATCATCATTCACTGGGGAGTGCAGGTACGTCGAAATGCTGAATCCCAAATAGGACGAAATGTGCATTCTGGATCTCACTGCTAGTTACCGTCCACCAATAAATTCTAATCACATGCCCAGACATCGTCGAACCACCTGCACAAAATCCGACATGTCAGACTGAGACCGAGCACTTCGGTCCAATCAATCGACGGGAAAATTTAAAATTCAATTAAATAAATATGTGTAAAGGTGTTCGGTAATACGTTTGTAGTCAAGTTTCCTAGTTGTGCAGCCTTTAAGCTTTTTCTACAGAAGTAAATTTGTAAATGCGCACATTACAGTGACATCCTTGTTTTAGTCAGTTATTTATTAATTTAATTCTAAACTGGATTAATCTAAGAAAGTATAAACAAGATGTTGATTTAAGCATGCTTCTTTATTGTCATCAGTTCTTGTGGGATTTCCATCACTTTTCATGCTACTTGTTACATTTGAACTTGAATTGTTTCGATCTAGCTGTAATCATATGCATGGTGGTTTTATTACCAGTCAATTTTCTCAAACTAGCACATCTAACCGATTGATCAGATGTGCCAATAGGCATATTCTTATGAAGTGAAGGAAATCGTTAAGACTATCGTGAATCTTATCAAGTGTATAATTTAATTCGTCTGTTCATGAATTCGGGATTCTATACTTTTTTGTATAGATTTTTTGGGTTACATATAAAAAGAATAAGAGACTATACAATATGCAAATTTCACCTGTGTAATTGTACACAAGTTATTTGCACTATATGCTATTAACACTCATCAATCATCCTAATAATAAGTAAAACTTGAGGTTTTTCATGTATCAGTGATGCAATGGTAGAATGGTTACCAACCATATTTGTGGTCTGCGATTCGATCCCCGGCCAATAAAAACCGAAACTTCACCTATTTTACTAACCGATAGTTAGCTCGGAAGAAGGAACAAAAGCTTGGTGTGAGGCTAGTAAACCTATTCCGCAGAAACAACTTAACAGTTACTATCACCGATGATATTCCTGATTGGGATGGATTGGATTGTGCAACAAATCGTGGGGATCGAGAAGACAGGAATACATTTGATCGACATTAAGATTCTAGAAGACGTGGATTCTGCGTATATGATTTATGTCTAATGTCACACAAACTCGAAAGTTTACAGGAAAAAACCAACAAGTCGATAGAGGAGGCGGGCAGCGAAGACAGGACTCCAAGTGGATATAGGCAAGAAAAGCACTAATCACCATCAGTGTAAGCATAATTTGAAGTAGATCGCTTCTTCCATTTATCTAGGCAACATCGTTTCAACTACAGGGAATATCAAAGACAGAATCAGCAATACAGACCTTCGTTAATGGGAAGTCACTGTAGAAACCTACTGCACTCATTATTACCAGTGGAATCCGGATATTCAACAATAACGTCAAATCAGTGTTGCCATTATACGCTTCAGAAGTTTGATCAGAGCTTCACCAAAAGCATTTCCAACAGCCTGCTTCAGACTTCAGTCAACAGCTGTCTTCAATGAATACTCAGGGTCAGATACCGGCTAGAAAGGGTAAGCAACAAGAGAGTCTGACAGTACACAAACCAGTCGAAAACCTATTGCTCAATAAATATACCGAAGGAAATGGAGACGGATTGGACTTACGCTGAGGATACTGTTAAGAGACATTACGCTGTAGATATGCCCTCGAGTGAAATCCGAATGGGAGACGACGAGTCGGGTGTGTGTTTGAGGGTGATATAGAGGATATCGTTTAAAGAGAGGAAATAGAAGTGTGTGGGCAGTTCTATGTAGCCGTTTAAAGAAGACTACGGAGAACAGAGTAACATGGAGATGTTCTGCTGAAGCCCTATGTTCTACGCCGAATTTAAAGAAGTAATTTTATAATCATATATATATATATATATATATATATATATATAACTTCGTGTATGAGTATTCAATGGTAGAATCTTCACCAAGCACACATATAATTTGGGCTCGATTTCCAGCCAGAGCACTTTTTAACATCGACTAGCTGATAGTAAGCCCGGAAAAGAGGCGAGGCTTGGTTGTGAGACTATCAACCCCACCTTGTAAAAAACGCCACCACCTCTACTGAATCTTGGAAGCCCAACTCAGAAGCCTTTTGTTCCACTCGTAACACAAAACAACAAAACAAGTACCGGTTACAGGATTTCATCATGAGCCTACATCCGCTGGAAAACCATTGGCAAACCTGCAGGGAGTACTGGACAGTTGTTTTGTCCTAGTTAGGAACTCTTCACAGTACACACTCACCGCCAGGGTTCGAACCCAGGACCTTCTGGTTACAAGGTGAGCTCGTAGACCATTAATCAACTGGGCCCAATCCAATGGACAATGCATGAATTCGAACTTCTGCCAATGCACGACATAGCGCGACCACTTGCCATTTTCTTTGGCGATTGCTTGTCCTCACACTCGACTAACTGCACCCTACTGATCACAAATATCATTCAGCATGCCTGTGTTTGATTTTGATCATTTAAAGTTAACTATAAAGTTTTTAAATGTTGATAAATTTGATTATATATCATCACGATCATCATCTTTCATTATGTTGTTGTTTTGTTTCTTCACATTATTTTCCCCATAGGCTCCAATGTAGAAGTTCCACCTGAAGTAATCGTTCTCAATTGTATTGTTCTTCCACACAAGGAATTATCACATAGCGCTAGGAATCAAATTATTTTGTAATAATATACATACACACTTACACATATATGTATACACTTATGTACACATTATTTAAGTGAGTACTTATATGTACACACCTACACCCACGCGCGCATGATCAATAGACAAATTGACAGTGTGTTTTGTCTGTCTATACACACACACACATATGTCTTGTGGATAAGTTTGAAATATCCTCAATTTTTCTTTTCTATTATTATTATTTAGTCTGTTTCTCTTTGTTTAGTTTATTTATTTCTTAAAATATGCCTTTATATACATACGTACATATTTTATAGTTTATTGTTTAGATGAAATGCCTTCATTTTTAGTAATATACGTATTGAGGAAGACTGTACATTTCTGTCCTAATTTTTTTTGCTGTTGTGTTTTTCTAATTTCTCTGTTCTCGTTTTCTTAATTTTCTTTAATTTAACGCCACAGTAATGTTACTGAGTACGTTAGAAGTGATAATAATGAATACTACTATTGGTGATAGTAATAATAAGTATTTTCTTTCGTGATTGTTTCACCACATAAATGTGTGTGTGTGTGTGAAGTAATTTTGAGTAGTCCCCCACTTTAAGGATGATATTTTCTTCCTTATTCATCTGCGCCGTGATTTTGTTATCAAATAAAACTTCTCTGTCTGTATCATGTTCAGTAATAATAGTCGAACTGCCTGCCTACCTACTTCCCTAACTACCACACTTCCCTACCTACCTACCTAACTGGCCGCATACTACATTTTGTGTATTTTATTCCTTTTGTAATATTTTCCCATACAAAAAAGAAAACACTACAACTTTGGTTCTTCCTAACTTTTTCTTATTCTTTTTGATAGTTTGATTATATATATATATATATATATATATATATATATATATATATATATATATATATATATATATCAGTATGGTTGTTTTTCCCCCAATTCATTGAACACTTCAGAGTTGATTAGTTTACGTTCTTCCACTTTTGCCTCTTTTGTTCCTCTCTTGTATTTTGTTTTGTTTTTTTGTTCTCCACAGGATACAGTTAAATAACAGCAATACAGTTTAGGTGGACACCAAATTGTTGTCTGTCTTTCTTTGATTCTGATAAATATTATTTATTAGAATTAGTGAGGTCACGGTATCAAGATGTTGCTAGATGGCACGGTGACTAGTGTTAGCACTACCTTATAAATTGACGTAAGTTTAGAATTCACGCGTTGTCGAATTAAAACCTAGTAGCTAAATAGTTAACGGGATTGGGCCTCGTAATCTAAAGGTTACTAAGTTCGACTCCCTAATGGCATTGTAGGTGAACATTACTGCAGTGTTAGAACTTCACACAGTTGTACAACACTTCAAGTTATTACACATGTAGCACATAAAAGTAGGGAAAAGAAAATCCAAAAGAACTATAATGAGAAGACTGTGCATTTTGTCAGCATCTTCATCTAGGAGGATTATATCATCTACATACTCCAATTGGAAGAGAGTGATCGCTGGTAGTAAGTTTTTCTGCAATTCCCTGAAGTCTTTCAGCGTCACATGCATTGCTATATATATAATACTGGACACCTCTGATGGATACCATTGGCTGTCATCAATTTTAATTGATAAGTTTCTATAAGCTGTTAGGCGGCTGTGTCTGTGTGAGTTCGACTAGAGCGATTTGATTAGTTCGGAATACTGTCTCAACACTCCCTTCACGGCTAAATATTGCCATGGCTCTTCTCAGTCAATAGAATCAAATATCTCTTTCGCTTCAAGATATATGGCAAGTGTTGGGCGTTGATAAGTATGTCTTTGTTTCAAAATCTGCTGATGGGTGAAAATACAATCCATCAATATACCCTCTTCCTAGTCTCAAACCTTACTAGTTTCCCGGGTTTGTTTCTCCCAAGAACCGTCTAGTTCATGCATGACTACAGAACCTAGAACTTTATACACTATTTTAGTCAAGTTATTTTCTCCCAGTGATTATCACAGGAAGATTGGTCTGTCTTTTTTATCAGTTGGCACTGCAGGACTAGCCGGTATAGCTTATTGAGTCATTTAGATATACAAAACTGACTACCATGGCAAGACATCACCTATCAAGAGGCCTCAAACTAGACCTGACAGCTATCCTGTGTTCTTTTGCTTTCAAGGATTCTGTAATTGATGTCCGTTCGTAACGAAATCTGTAGTGAACTGAAATAACTTAACAATAATGTTAGCAAAAGTTCCTTTTGGTGTTTCTGTATGACGAGGTGAAGGGATATACTAGTCCTAGTGAATTTTACTATTAGGCGCTATTCCTAAAACAGATTGAATATATAGCATTAGAATTTATACAGACCAAGACTCTTCGTAGGTTCCCTGGGTCTTTAGTGCATTGAGACATAGTCATCCATTTGGACAAAATCTCACACGATTGAAATTCGAGGTTTTTAGCAGTATGATTCATTTTTGTCCCTATATGTAGTTTAGTGACAGCTAGTATAGTTACTGATCATCAGGGAAACATATGGCAAAGAATGATCACCAGTGTCACGTCAACATTTATCCTGTTGATATACGTTTCCAGAGAACTTAACTTTTCTATATTAACTATTGAAACTACTTGGTGTGTATTAACTGGCTTCACCTTTTGTAAAATAAAAAACACCTCATAATTTATAAAACTCACTCTTTGCATCGTCGGAGACTCAGTTTTGATCTGTAGATGAAGGTTGTGGTGAACCAGCATCAATAAGTATTAATTTCCTTCATTGTGACTACATTTCCACTCAACCATATAGGATATAAATGAATGTTATTTAGGATTTAGTTGAGCAGTGTGCTGTAAAACGTAAATCTGATTTATGCATCTAAAAAATGACGGTAACTGGCTATGAAGCAGACTGAGTTTTGTTCATTCGTTTATTAAGGCTAAGTGACTAATCACAATGAGATTCCTATGTCTACATTCCAGGTAGTCGATATACTTTCATAGGCTGAAATGCCGAAAGTTCTCAACATTAATTACAGGGCTCTGACATGGCATTCACAATTTTAGATTTCGAGAGACTGAAGATAGGGCTTACCTTTTACTGACTTTAGAGTAAGGGAGAGTCGTGGAAACTATTCAGTGTTTAAAGGCAGTAAGGGAAGAATTAGTTAAGACAAGGGAATGTTAGTTACTACTGGTAAGTTTCTCAGTGTTCTTGTCACATTGTGTATAGTTGCGTCTAGATGGTTAAAGGCAGTCGATCGGCAGGAAGTCATGGATCTAAGCTTCGTGCTTGTTGGCACCCACCAGTCAACAAGGCGTATCTGCAACCTTGAAGGGACTCATGTCCCTTCTGAGATTCGAACGCACGTCACCCATTGCTGCATTAAGAGACGTTACCACTGAGATATTGGGGCTCACGATTGACCTCCTGTATAACCATATTCGATACTTTGATGGGACACTAGTAACTAGTGTAATGTTTGTAGTTCTAGTTATGAAATGAATGTTTACCGTGATGGCGAGCTACCTAGAATTGTGGCCACACTGCAAACCTGACTGTTCGAATTCAGTTTGCACCAAATAAAGGACTAAGGAAATCACAGTAGGTACTGGTGTCCAATCAAACTATAGTTGAGTCTCTAATTTGGCAACTTTACCAAGAACGATTTAAGTCCTTAGTAGAAGTCTAGGTATACAATTTTCTGGGACTTAGTTATTTTATTTTCCTCTTCCTAAAAAATAAGGGTACAATCGATAGAATCACCAACGGAAACATTTTACTGCATTCAAATACATTGAATCAGCAGTATAATTTTTTTTCCTAAAGAATCTTACCGAAAATACAACATATTTATTCAGTGAAAATAGTGTGTTTCAAGTTTATAACTAACTATCCAATCGATCTTCCGGAAATTTCAGGTCCCCAAGAAGTAGTGGTTAACTCAACGTGAATGGCTCCTTAAGTCTTTGTAATATGCAACATCGGCTTCTGATATAACGTCAGGTAGAGGAAATCAGTCAATACACTAACCAATGAACAGGAAGCTAAGGATAAGAATAATGTCCATAAACTGTTACTTTCAACAATATAAAGTAGAAAATATGCGAAGTAAAATAAACGGTAGTGATACCTGCTTAAGAAAATAACTAGAACTAAGTGGTATTTATCAGTTAAATGCACATTTTCAGATAATGATATAAATGGTTTACCTAATAGTATACATTGTATCCTGCTTACTTTTTTACGTGGTCATTCAGGATTGTAAGTATCTATTAATTATTTATCACAGAAGAAACTAGATGCTTTATTGTTCCACTTTTACTTGGGATTCTAAGAAAACAACTTTAAACTGAAGTACAACGGAAAAACAATACGAAACAAAACCAATATAACACGAAAATGCTTGTTGCAAAGAGTAAAATCAATGTTCCTCTGTTGTTCGCATCTTTTTTTGTGTGTGTGTGTGATAAAATCTAGAGTAGCATTATGATGCAGCTGACTACATGTGGTGAATAACTGTTTCAGTTGGAAATATGTGACTTTGCACTTATGTCTTTGAAATAATGAGAATTAAAATCACCTGATTTTCCCCCTATGGTTTGATACTTATTCGAGGACATTTCGTCACCGCGCTTTGTGACATCAACATTATGTTCATTAAATTTCAAGACACGAAGGTCCTCTGTGGTTAGACAGCCCAGTTTTCTAACATGTTATTGTTATGATTACGCATTATTAACCTCTTGAGTTCTAAGTGTAACATAGGGTTTCAGCAGCACATGTTCATTGTATTATACTTCCTGTGACCTTCTTTTTAGTTGGCTCCACGTCAGCCCACAAGCTTTCATTTCCTTTTATTTACATGAACTCTTCCATGTCACCTTCCCACAAGCGCTCACTTCCTCGTTCCCTGTCACTTGGCGTCATTTAACGGTCTCCTCAGTACATGCCCAATCCAGATCTATTTTCTCTTGTACATTTGTTGAGCAACAGGTTGTTGATTGGTTCGTTCCAAAGCTCCTTGTTGCTACTTGATCTTCAATATGGAGCTAAGTGAGCAGCTGCTGATAAAAGTCTATAGCAGACTGTTGGAAACTCTTTTCTTGATACTCAATGCGAGTTTCTGACCCATACAGAAGGAGTGATCTGACGTTTATGTTAAAAATCCGAATCTCGTTGTTTATGCTGGCTGAGTCCAGAAGATTTCCTAACTGATTTCAGAGTGATGAAAGTCCTACTGATACCGTCGTTATTAATTACTATTATACAGCCTCAAATTATTATTATTGTTTCCTTTAGTTCCTAGAGGAACATACGGCTTCAGCCGCTCACGTCTCCACTACGTTCGGCCCTCTGCCAACGTTTTCACCTTGCTCCACGTCTGCCTACATGCTTTCATCTCCTCCTCACATGACCTCCTCCAAGTCACCGTTGCACTGACGACCAACTCGCCGCTTCCCTTTCGGGTTCCATTCGAGCAATGGGTTGTCTAGTGATGTCACTTGATAGTATTCTCAGATTATGGCCAATCCACCTTCATTTTTTCCTGCATATCTGTTGCACAATCGGTTCCTGGTTGGTTCACTCATTACCAGAGATCCCTGTTGCTGATCTTTTCCGGCCATCTAATCTTGAGTGGTATTGAGCGAAGACAGCTGTTAATGAAGGTCTGTAGTTTGTCTGAAGTGCTCTTCACGACGTGCCAATTCTCTGATCCATGAAGTAGCACTAACTTTACATTGACACAGACTCAAATGACATAAATATTTTAATTATTTCATTGTCTATTCGTATTGAAGAGAAAATATCTATTTATCTGTAAAACAGAATGTACTGAACAAGGTAAGTAGAAATTACTTATTTATCCGTTATCGGTAACCTTCTGAAACTCGTTGTTATGTTTCAGTAAACAGTGATCTGAAATGACTAGGTCATCTTTCAAAACCGAATGCATATTAGTGACACAACCTCCATTAGCCGTGATACCTAAAACGATTTCCAGAAGTTTTCATTTTGCAGAAATTTTCGAGTTTCATACTCCACTCAAGAAATTTTTTTCGGAAAGTGGTCCAACATAAACACATAAATGAACTTTTAATTTAAGTTG